TTATTATTATTAGTTGTGTGTGTTGTTGTGTGTGTGTGTGTGTGTGTGTGTGTGTGTGTGTGTGTGTGTGTGTGTGTGTGTGTGTGTTATAATATAAAATATGGCTACCATTCACATTTATTCTTTCTCATAAGTTCTTTTAATTATTTAATATGTTATTACAAATAGATAATTTTTAATAGACATTAAAATATAGAAACATTTTTTCAATATCCGAAGTAACTTTTAGACATTTTCTTTGGATAAGAGAAAATAAATAATTTTCAACACAAAAATTACATTAATGACAAAAGTGAAAAGAGAGTAGAAAGATTAACATTTTATTTACATGAGAAAGTTTCCGAAGAAGAATGTTGTTAATTAATTGTTCGGTATTGAATATTGTGTAGGAAAGGAATGCAAGAAATCAAATCATCGAAAATAGAGAATATTATAATCGATTGTTCGTACAAAATTCTTGACAAGGTCCTCACACAGGCCCAACAAGTTGGCATTTTATCTGACAAGCATAAAGTGATTGTAACTTCTCTGGTAAGGTAGCTATAAGCCTTAAACAAGTTAAAAAAGATTGTAGAATAGTAACGGTCGAAATTGTTTTACAATAAAATCTAATTGAAATATATATACTTTTCAAAAAAAAACCTGGTTTGAAAAACAAGTACAGTAATAACGATAATAATTTAATGATAATCTGGAATTATTATACAAATATTTGGCGTTATAAAAAAATTATATTATAAGGATTACCCGCGTAAGTCACTTCTTCAACAATTGATTCAATGTTTTCACTGATATTACAAGTAGATTACATATCTTATCTAAATTTCATTAATATCTTAATTTTTCATGATGATACCTAAACTTTTTTTCTGATATAAATTATAAGTATAACTTACATGTATAATATCCTTTAAATTATGAGATATAACGATTAAATATAATACATATAATGTAATTACATAATACATAATAATGTAACGATTAAATTAAGATGTAACGATTAAATATAATACATGCTGATGAATACGCATGCATGGCAGGATCTGCAAACCCTGGATTTAAATCCATATCAGTATTCTGGAGTCAATTTAACTGGTGTGCGTCTAATTGATCCTGAAGATCCAATAGCACTACAAATTTTAAAGAAGCATGATAAAGAATGGGGTCTAGACGATCTTTCGAAGTTACGAGTTGAACCCGCTCTTATGTACGATGCGGTACAATTGTTTGCAAGAGCGTTTAAACAATTGAAAGATGCTACGACGGGCGACGTTAAAAAACTGCAATGCGATGATGATAGTAGATGGGAACATGGATTGAGCTTGAGCAACTTTATGCGATCGGTAAGATAAGAAAAATACTTTAACTTAAATATACTTCAAACATTTCTTAAACATACCAAATATTTTAATCACTTATATATCTGATCATTTATATATAAATTAACTAATTCCAAAATTTTTAAAAAGAAATAGAATTATGGAAACTGCTGTTATTCTTAATTATTGAAAAATCAATATCAAATATCAATTATGACAAGTATATCTTACACATCTTTGAATTATTCAATTCTACAATTTTCTTGTTAGAAGCACACTTATTATGCTGTTTTGCTTTCAGATCGAAACGAGAGGATTAACGGGTCTTGTTAAGTTCGATAGGGACGGTTTCCGTAGCAATATAGAATTAGATATCGTACGTTTGAGTGAAAATGGCTTGACAAAAATTGGAGACTGGAATAGTACGGCAGGAGCAAGCATCGATTGGCTACCAGAAGTCAAACAATCAGACATTAAATTAAATATACAAAATAAAACATTCATTGTTTTAATATCGCTTACAGCTCCGTATGGCATGGAAAAAGAATCGTGGGACACACTGCACGGCAATGACCGTTACGAGGGCTTCGGCGTGGATGTTATAGATCATATCAGCAAAATACTTGAATTCAATTATACTTTGCAAGTAGAAACAAATTATGGAAAGCTTCTAGATAACACTACCGGAAAATGGAATGGAATGCTCGGCAAAATAATAGCTGAAGTGAGTATTAAATGTCGAATAAGATAATGAAGTAATTAAAATATTATAATAAAATGAACTGAACAAAAATAAATTTGTATTATTAACATAATATAATTTATAATTTAAAAATATAACATACTTTTAGGAAGCAGATCTCGCTATTACGGATCTTACAATTACATCATTACGAGAAAAATACGTCGACTTTTCTATGCCCATTATGAATCTTGGCATGTAGTAATTTAATATTATTTTAAATAAACGAAAGTGACTTCATTTTAATAGTATACAGGATTTCTTATAATATTATAGAATATTACTTCTTACAAAATGGAATCTGAACAAAATGGATATTAAAATGAATAGAAAAATCCTCTAATTTTGACATTTATATAATAATGAGAAAAATGTTTAAATTAAATATGAAAC